ATAACAGTCGGGCCTAAAAGTTTGAGGAATTTGTCAGAGTAAAGTAAAAAGTAAAACACAGTTTAATGTTTTAATTTTTAATTTGAAAGACTAACAAGTTTACCTACCCAAATGAACGTTTTTTTCAACCTCTGAAATGACACCAATCGTTCTTTCTGGTAATCGGCGTAAAAAGTTTCTGACACAAAGACTGAGATATGTGGATTTTGCGAGATCAGCTCTTGTCGGTTTATTCTTTTCTGAACATGCCTGCTTTTATGCGGCCTTATAAACATCTGACTCATATTATCCACGGTGCATTATAATGTGATTTAACTGACGGAAAACATACTATTGCGTTATTGCTAAGATTTGACAAAAAAATAACTGTATGTTTTGTCGAGAGATTGTAAATATGAAGAAAACCATTATCTTCTTTCGATTTTATTATGGTAATTTCACGAGAATGCTCTTTATAAACATGTAGATAGGAATAAAGCGATGTTTGTGTAATATAGTGCGTAGAATCCATTGCGCAACGAAGAAGCCGGGTATGTTCGTTATGGGTCACACAAGCAAAAGACGTCACTCTTTCTAAAAAAACAAAATTATTTCATTCCCAAATATACGATCCGATTTGCCCGGAGCTACGTATGAAAGATGCCGCAGTGTTGGCGGGGAAAACCTTTTTAGAGACAATGATATGAACAAGAATGAAGAAGATACTGAAGAATTTCAGAATATTTCTACATCAATGAAACATTTATAATCTTAATAATTTGAGCTGCCAAACAAAATTCGTTTGAAATAATAAGAAAAAATGTTTATTATGTTTATTATGTTTATTATGTTTATTACGTTAAAAATGTTATTTATGTTTATTATCATATGCAATACAATAAAATTCTTTGTGCTTCTTCGTCGGATCTCGATAAAGGATTCTAGGAGTTAACTGTCGGAGTTTCCGTTATTGCACACGTGGCACATGGGTCTTTGAGTTTTCCGTGACACCTGCCGCGTTAATGCCGCACACGCACAAAATTGCCATATTCTTATTGCGCAACACGCACAAGTCATAAACGACAATGGTTCCTACGTTCTTCACCAGAGGTGTGGTGTTGTAAACACATTTTGGCTCTGACAAAGTCACTCCCTACCGAGGATAATGCCAATACAATGAACTGACGTTCGATTTTACGGTATCTCTTTGACTCTCCTCTGGAGCAAGAATTTTCTTTCTGGGAATCACGTTAGGAAAATATTTTAGAATTATTTTGCACTGATTGTCGTTATGCTTTAGGAATACGTTTCATATGAAATTTTACGGAAAGAATCGTCACTGAAAATGTTCGAAACTTGACAAGTTCGCTGCGTTCCGCAAGGATGGTTGTTATAGAACATTAGACTAAAACTCAGAAACCTCAGAATGTACTTGCAGCAACTGTGTTGCGAGCGTACCTGTCATAATTTTAACTATAAGATGTTCTACGTAGAATAATAAAACGTTTAAATTAGCATTTGTATTGATTTTGGTGCTCTGATTAGGTTCATTATATTCTACTTAATAATATTAATGAAATAAACATATTAACAGTTTTCCAACAAACGTTTTTCAAATGTCTTCTTATACGTTTCTTATTTAATCAGATTTTGAACTTAATTTATAACCACCTGTTAATGAAATAGTGTTAATTTTTTTTGATTTTATAGTTTACATGGTGCAGTTGATGGCGAATGTGAGTTGCAATTAAAATAATAGTATTTTTAATGCTATTAGTACGCCTAAAAATAGCTATTATTTGCTGAGATTAAAAAACAACTTTATTTCTGGTAAAAGTAGAACTCTGCGTGCACAATTAAAATCTTTGAATGGAAATATTTTCATTTAGAATAACTTAAATGTTTTTTTCTAGGCAAGCGATGTATTTGTTAGGGCAAATGGAGCGTTTATATATTGTGAATATTTTCATATCATTCTTCCATACTACAAATTTTGTTATGAAACGTCTTTCAAATTTGTACAGAGAGTGGATTCGTTTGGTAAAAACTGCATTCAATGAAAAACGTACTATTATTGTTTACAATTTTGCAACCGTACGACTTGTGCGTCTACTATTAGTGTCAGCTATTATGACTATCTCAAAACAGTTTTATAGAATTTTATTTTATAATTGGCTGAAATAGACCATTGTGTGCAAGTTATTCCATGTATATAGTACGAGTGTATAATTACTATCGAGCTCATAATGGTCTTTAAGCCACCTGTAATATTCAATATTTTAGCTTATCCAATCGCTTTTGCAACATTTTGAGCTTTTTCTCTTCCACGGTACATGGGCGGTACTTCGGCGGTACATGGGAGGCTGTAGAGGGTACATTTGGGTTGACAAACGCTATCGTCCGAAAATTAGGAAGGTATTCCTGAACGTATTAAAAATTAAGCTGCGAAAGCTGTGAAAGATTTATTACCAAGTAAATATAAAGTTATATTTCCTAAAAAAAAGGAAATTTTAAAGGCGTGGACGAGGTAATGAAATATTAAGAACGTACGCGAAGAGGTTTCTTAGCTTATTTGCAGCGAAAGTAAATATCAATACTTAATGCAGGATCGTTGGAATGTATACGAAAATATACATTGCACTTTATTGGATGTGTATTATGAGTAAATGTGTTAGTATCATTAATAAATTATTGAGTATTAGTGTTTCTCTATGTATATTCCTTCATTTTTCAATTAAATCACATTTTGTCTGCATGATATTGTTCAGTTCAACGGCAGCTGATTTTCTGTTGTTTATCGTGACAATTAATAGCATTCATAATTCAACTTGAATATAGTTCAGAGTAGGAATCCCAGAATTAAGAAAACGTGCCCACAATACATGTATAATCCCGCCACAGAATATCGTCGGGACGGACAGTCAGAAATTGTCGAAAAAAAGGCATAAAAGCTGCCTTATACTTCAATTTCCAACTCACCTCTATCGGCAAATCACTAATATGGATTAATGCACGATACATTTTTCACTAACTATAACATATATTCAGCATGTAATGTTGGTAAAACGTTAAAATGTAAATCATATATGTTTTTATCATTTCTCTTCCCTAACGTCCGTTCGTTATCTGGAGAACTCATAAGAAGTTTCACGTAGTCTGGGATGACGATACATCATGCTGGAACTATTTTCTCCGTTATCATTTGTGCCATTACCAACTTTATAAACTCTAGTTTATAAACCGAGCTTATGGGTTCCCTCCGAGCAAGGAGATCTAAATATATAAGCCTCGGAACTTTCATTTTCAAAATAAAAGAAATAACTTGGATTACAAAGTGTAAATTTTCATCTATATTCAATTTTTATTTTAACTCAACATACGTCTGCTCATCTCATTTGTTCATCCAGGTGCGGTGAGCAGCACTGTTCCGGGGACCCCAAAATTACGCCAATACATATTAATAATCATGTTCTTAACCTCACCGCAATAGTAAGCGATTAATAATATTTTAAAATCTGAATGACATTAACTAATTAATACACCATGCTCATCATTATACAGTTATCGCCCTGCATTGAGATCTTCATATCACGATGTGTTAACTTTTCTTTTTTCCAGTTTCGTAATACGATGTAAAATTAGATGAAATTACCACTCAAGTTTCAGGTGTTACTTATTATTCATAAAAAGGAAAAATGATAAATATTGTGGTGGTTATGTTTCATTTTATTACGAAGCTGCTAATAAGCGTTGTGATTACTAGAATAAGAAAAAATGCAATTTACTATGTACAGACTGGTCACGCCAGTGGACTGGTAGGTGAAATAAGTGAAGCAATATCAAGAATAATCGTTCAGGTAATGAGATGGAATGATGATGAGATGAGATTCAGATGAAAAGAAAACTTTGAAAGGAACAACATGGAGTATCCTACATATATTGTCATTGTGACTGACCGTACTAACTTGATCTTTTGAGAATGAAATAAAAAAGAGGTGGATTTAGAACTCAGAGGATTTTAATAATAGAAAATTGTTATAATATATTAATTTTTCCGGATTGGAAGGGCGAACTTAAATTCAAGATTCGCGAAAAAAGCGTTATAGCAATCCGCACCGGATGAATTCAACCAAATGATTCAATGAAAAAGTATTTTCTGTGAGAAAGAGGGTCGAACTCGGCTTAGTATTTTTAGGCACGAGCGACACTGGAGTACTTCACAATGGTGTAATTTTAAAAATCGTCGCTTGTTTTTATTACCCTGAACGTGCCACGTGGATTTACTGCTGAAGGGTGCACGAATGTCGAGATCGCCGTGATCATGCGGCGGTTGTTTTAAGTGCTGCACCAGCAGAGATGAATCGTCTTATCGAGGAACTGGCCTCTAGATTCAGGAAGTGCCATAATCCGACAAGTTACATATTCTCGGATTTAAATATAGTGACTTATGACGTGCGATAAACTGGGTCGCGGTTCTCCAATCGGTATCTTCAGTATCAAAAATTGCGTCGTCTCCCGAATCGATAACCGCGTCCAGTTCATCGAACGTCAAAAGTAACAACATTAAAATCAGAGTATAGCCGATCGAGCCCTAGTAACTACGAGGACTGCGCCGCAGGGCCCCGAGCGAAGAGAACAAACTGTATCAATTTTTTAGGCCTGAAATTTTATTTTTTAAACTAAAAAAAACCTAACAATATTTACATTTTCTCTCTTCAATTTATAATTTCACACATTGAACGACTAAAAGTATAACATTACACACACCGAAACATTTATCGAAACGTTTTTCATTCCATTAAAGTTTTAGGCACTTATAATTTTTCAGAAAATAATAAACAACCTTTATTAGAAAAAACATATGTTTATGTTGGGAGAAACGATGAAAAGACAAGAGAAGAGAGCTCCATTTCATCGATTTTTCTCCCTCGCGTTTCTATTTACGGCCCCGGAGCTGTGCGAAAAATCCGTGGAGGCCCTGTCTCATACGTTTCCTGGTATTGTGTATTTCTCCCGTTGAACTACCTCTGCCCTTTCTTTTCCTAGGTCTCTTCTCGCTCCACTGGGAGAAGGCTGTAAACTCAAAATAATCGTTTAAAATTTAAACACGTAATTTTCTAATTTATACAAATACTCTCAAAATTATTCAAGTAACTGTCGGCCAATATGATATTTGGGCCTGATAACCCGATACAAGTTAATGCCATTTGATATCCTTGCTTTAATATGTGACCTTCGGTTTCTTTTGGCCATTGGTATGGCAATTCCGGGTTTGTTGGTGTAAGTAACTCACCATTCTCTTTTAAACCAACTAGTTTTGATTAAAAGTTACGTTCAGTGCTTTATCGCTACGAAAAAAAACCTTTTGAAAGCTGAATACAACTGCCCGTCAGTTGATCAACGTAGTAGGGTTCTCTCTGTCTCCACATGCGGAAGCCGTGGCAACTCGCTTTGTTGGTTTTCAGCTGCGGCGTCTGTGAATTATATTAGTGCCTGGTACAGATGGGCGACCGCGTTATCCCCGAGGACACCACGACCTCAGGCAATGGCAATTTATTTATTTCGTCAAAAATATTGTATCATCTTTTTCTTCCGCACTTCATGGATTAGGCTTGAGCCTGTTCCGTCTTCACAAGTTTTCCTTCCATCGTTTTTTGGGTCTTCCCACGTCTCTCCTTCCAAGCGGTTGGTAGAGTCAAGCTAATTTAGGTAGTCTAGAGTCATCCATCCTTTGCGTGTGTTGATACCAATTATCTCGATAATTATTTATTTTTTTTCCAATTTCTTCAACATTTAATTTTTCTCTTATCTTCTCATTACGAATATGATCTTCTTTTGTGCAACCTAGCGTTTTCCCCAAAAACTTCATTTCAGCGGCCTGGATTCTGCTTAAAATTTTTTTTTTTGTTAGTACCCAGATTTCGCTTCCGTATAGAAGAGTTGGAAGAAACCATATTATCTTCACAAGATAATATTATATCATCTTCATTTAATTCAGCCTACTTTACATATGATGCTCTCACCACCACAGCCGCAACTTCTCCTATACTGCCTTCGCCAATCTCGCAGTCTCTCCTCTTCCTCCAGACTCGAGCACACGACTGCACACGAGCGTTGCGTTGACGTGCGTTCAGTAATACGCGTCGTAGAAACGGCACACGAACGCTTTGGCCCTTCCGCAATAGACACGCTGTTAATCTACGACGCGCGTTACCTGACGCGCGTCAACACACGGCTCGTGTGACACATATCTTATACTGCATTCTATCACCTCAACTCTCTCCATCGCCTCTACAGCTCTGTACTTTGGCGGAGGGCTCGAGGACACTATTTATGCTAAATGCATGTGGAAATTGTGATGGGCAATGAGAGATCTCGGTGGTTTTTTTAGGGGTTCTCGGCTTTTTCCTTACCTCTGATTCCACCACTCTCCACTACTACTTCTAATTATCATAATTGCTATCATCTATTTATTTGATAATATCCCATTGGTCTCAATGGCCAGTTGAAGCGACTGTAAACACAAATAAATAAATAAGTAAATAAATAAATATATAAATATGTAAATGAATAAGTCCATAAATAAATACATTCA